TAAAGACTTGCGTATTCTCATATTTTTAAGAAAATGGGGTGACACGTTCTTAATTGGATCAATAAAAAATTTGTGATGACGCCAATAATAATGTAAATAATACTTGTCATAGCACAAAAGAAAATTAGAAACAGCGCATTACCAATGCAAGAAAAAACCAAAGTGATAAGAGCTGTGAAGGCAGTACGACTCCGCAAGTACGACTGATAAAATTTTTGTTGTGCAATTTTTCGAAATCACTGAGACAAGTGTTATTGTTAAGCAGGTACGTGACAGAGCGAAAATAGCACATCTGGGGTTTCTTGAGTTTCCAACTTGACAAATAAAATCATAAAAATTCCTCGATTCTTTTCGGTGAAGGGATGAACCGGCGTCAGTAATAGTAACTTACGCTCGGGAAGTAAAAATGTTAATAATGTGAAAAAGTTACTGCACAAATTGCAATTTCCAGCTGCACAAATGCATTTTTGAACTGCACAAAATGTGTAGAAGTGCACATTAATTTAGGCCCTGATTATAATAATACAGACTAAACGTATTACATTCCTTTGTTGTACGTCTACTGCTGTTGACACATCTTGACCATTGTCAAAGTTAAATTAAATTTTTACAACTAAATGGCGGGAGTACCATTACCAATAACAATTCTAACATTAATTACATGTTCTTCTTCATTATTTTTAGCGTATGCAAAATTTTGTGGCTCCATTTTATGCCTCTAGCTGCTGGAAATTTCGTGATAAAACAGTTAAACATTTTATATTCAACTCAATTATCAAAACATGTGATTTATTACGACATACTTAATTTACAACAGTTTATAAACTACTAGGTACTTTATTGGACAGTCGCATACGAAAAGTTGTTTGGACTCCAATTCAACTTGCCTATGACACAATGTTTGGGATCTCCTAGGAAACCTTGGGGAGTCCAATTAAACTCATTTCGAATGAAAATCCTTGAAAATTCAACAATATTTTACGATTTAAGCAGCTAATTCACAAATAAAAAAAAATCATTTAACAAACAATTCATTTGACTGGAACAGCGACAACGCCTACTGAAAATCATTAATAATAATATTGAACTGGAGGTGAAAGAGTTGCAGAAAAAACGATTGTGTTGAGTCAAACGTAAAGCTACGTATGCAACTCGGACATGATCAGGCGTTACTGTACCCACCCTTTTTTAGACTCACTCGTTCCTTGCACGTCCATAAACGTTGCTCGTTCAGTATAAACCTTTGTTTATGTACTTGTTACATAAATAGCTATTAAAAAAAGAAAAATAAATATTCATTTGTGTATTTATAAGTATTCTTACATCACTTAAGTACATGTTAGCTAAATATAGACAGGTTTCTAATGTAAACATTAACAAATATACAAAATATTTGACACTGATTATATCACCGTATTAAAAATTTGACACTATATATTTGCATCCAGTCTTCTAGTTGTAATAATCTTAAAAATAATAGTTATTTTTGTTACAAGTATGTAAAACATAGTTTTTTGGGATGAATTTTGCTGTTTTCGGACGAGACGAAGCCGAGTCCGGAATAACAAATGAGTCCCAGAAAACGTTTTAGATACGTGTCACAAACAACATTTTTTTGTTAAAGCTCCTAAAAACACCTCCATAAATCTCTTAATACGACTAAATGTGACCGAAGCAAAGATTTCGCGAAAATACATAGTGGGCTGCAAATCATAGTAACCAGATTGACCAAAGCAAATAGTTGCCATGGTAACTTTTTGGGTTTGAGTCCGAAAAAGACTCATTTTACGGACACTTTCGAGTCCGTAAAATAGCTGTTTTTGGGAGCGTATACAAAAAAAAAATATTGTGACCAAAAATAACACTTCCCCTATACAGGTGTTTTCGAAAATGGCTGAATCACAATGTCTATAAAAAAATAGTTACTGTTCTGTATCTTGGAGTGATGGATAATGATACCGTTTTGAATTAATAAATATCGCCTTAATAATTTCTAACGAATTATATATTTGGATATTTACATCAATTAATTTACAACATTCAATATGTTCTGCTGCGTTCACTTTAATTTAGATTTAAAAAATATGTCTAACAAATTCCTTGTGGCCATATTCATTAATTCAACGGAGATGCTTTGACAACTCAGAAATATACTGGACCCCAGGACGTTAACACTTAGCAATAATTAACATTCAAATACAATATCTAACATAAATCAGTAAATACACATACTCGTACATCGATACCACGGCAAGCAAATAATTCCGCTCACTCAAAATATGAACAACAAATAAAATATTATTTTCAGTTTAAAATATAGGTTAATCGGGACCTACATCATATTTGCATTAACAGTGGACTGCAAGGATCATTACTTATGTTATATGAAATCTGCTCACAATGAGGCATTGGCTAATCACACGAGTAGGATAACATGTGGCCCATGGTACAACAAGACATGGTATGATATATTGCGCATTCTGGGTGACGTCATGTGGCTGTCATGACCGCCAACTTTAAATTCTGGCTTGTTACATGTTCATATATATTATCACTATCAACGGACAATGCCAAATTTTGAACACATGTTATTATTGATTTCAATTTAACACCTTCGAAGATAAGTTAACCCATGATTAAAAACTGAAGCGAATCTCAGCCTCCGTGATATCCTCACATGTTACTGATAAGTGATAAGAAGAGCACGGTTTTCAAGGCAATATGACGTCACGTGGCTGGCGCAAAGCAGACTAAACTTTATCCACCGGAGTAGCATACCATGTCTTCTTGCACTATGATGTGGCCCAAATATTTGTTATACAAAGTTTTATTTGCGACCACAGGATTTCTAAAAAACAAGCACAATAAATAAAATTGGTCGAAGTTTATTTCGACAGAACTTCCCTCGTTCCTGAAATACAAGTACACAAATCCCGCTTTTTTGAAAAATTGTAAAATCAGATTTTCTCATATTTGTTTTGTGATAACTGGGGTGCATATTACAAGGGAATGCAAATTGTACAAGTATGGACAACGTAAAAGGCATTTAACGCAGATAAGCAACGGGAAAAAAGGCTTTTCAGCAATAATAAGCTTTAGCTTCAAGTGTTTTTTTTTGTCACGTAGAAATTTGTTTGATATGAATGTGTTTGTCGCCTCAAAGCAGAAGACTAAAATTATTAATTAAGCCACAGTCGAACACAACGCCCTGAACGTTATTATTACAATACCTGTTAAATAAAGACGTGCGTATTCTCACCTTTCCGAGAAAATGCGGTAACTCGTTCTTAACTTGATCAATAAAAAATTTGTTATTAAATATAGATAATACCTACTCAGCGCAAGAGAACGAGAAAAAAAGAAACGGCGAACTTTGGCATCGAACTTGCGACCTCCGGACTGCATGCTGATGGCTTAACCACTTGACCATTATCACAGCATAGATATCAATCAGTAGAGACGGCTCGCCGTTTTTCGTGACCCGTTTTCGTTGGTGGTCGTTCGCATTATGACCGAATGAGGGCGCCCAACTGACGTCTAAAATATTTGAAATTTGGCAGTTTTGTTACAATATTTTTGCCAGTTTTGCTTGTTTAAGACTGCTTTTCCGGTAGAATTGTACAAATAGTATAAAAATGTAATTTTCACAATAAAAGGTAAAATCTTTGTCCGATGAATTTTCATACCGGATCCCTGTTGTGCGTCTTATTCTCTCCCTCGTGTTTGGAATTCTTGGAAAAGATAGTAAACATAACACATTTTTTGTTTAAAAAGTCGTCGCAAACGAACAACAACGGTGGTTATGAATAAAATAAAAACTGTAACAAATCATCGTGTTTATAAATTAAATATGGACTTTTCTTTTTTCTTATTGCGATTCACGATTATACGATTTGAGCAAACTAGACAGTTTGCAATAAATTGCGTACACGAATCAATTTTTGAAATTGTAAATGAAGTGATACTTTTTAAATTGGGTGGCGACATCTAGGAATAGTTTAGGCAACGACCACCCATGACGGCTTAAAATTCGGGTCAGAAAGAACAAAGGCGCCGACACGAGCTGTCTCTACTGATTGTTATCTATGCTGTGCCATTATCGCTTATATCCTGAGTCAGTGGTAACATGCTATTATAGTGTGTTAATTTTTTTATGAACTTTTGGCTGTTACAGAGAAAAAACTCAAAGGAAGTAGATTCGTACACCACAAACATCCGAGCTTATTATTGTATAACATTTAAATTATTATAAAACAGAAATCTTTGAAATGACGTCATCCAGTTGTAGGTAGGAATGATTAAGCAAATTTTGGTAAAGGTTTAATCATGACGTTAACTATTATATTCAAAATATACGTACAACATTTGATAACAATCAGCCCACTAGTTTCGGAGATTACGTGTCTAATAAAAATGGACACAGACGCCATAGAGACAGACAGCGTACGCTCAGGAAGTGAAAATATTTACTTCTTTTTGTGTGAATGAATGCGATAATGTATTTTTTTTCACTAGCAGCCATGACGCATGCAAATGTCGACTCATTTAGTGGTAGCAAATTCAACTTTTGCGACCACCGGTTCAAAAAGAAAAATTGAGGTTATGTACGCAACGTTTGATGTGATTATTTCTTAAAAAATTAACAAATGTGTGCTACAATTACTTGAGTATACGCATTGTAGTTGGTAGACGGTAGAAAATAAAATGATTAACTCAGCGACAAGTATAAACGGTTTTCTTTGTGTTGAAGATTTAGATTAACTTTGATTAGAAATCAAAACAAAATCATGTTGCGTCAAAAAATTGTACGTTTATTTTTTCAGTTTATTGTCTTATGGTTTCTACTAGTGAAAAAAATAGTATATTAACCACGGTTGCAAAGCCACTTCTAGACCTCGCGCTTCAGAGCCCTCGACGCTGCGCGTCTCGGGTTCTAATTTGCGCTCGGTCTAGAATGCTTGGCTCTGCAACCTTGGCTAATAATATACTATTTTTCACAGAGCAGCCATGAAGCATGCAAATGTCGACTCATTTAGAGGTAGCAAATTCAACTTTTGCGACCACGGGTTCAAAAAGAAGATTGAGGTTATGTACGCAATATTTGATGTGATTATTTCTTAAAAAATGAATGAATGTGTGCTACTAACATTACTTGAGTAGGTATACGCATGGTAGTTGGTAGACGGCAGCAGATAAAATGATTAATTCAGCGACAAGTGTAAACGGTTTTCTTTGTGTTGAAGATTTAGATTAAGTTTGATTAGAAATCAAAACAAAATCATATTGCGTCAAAAAATTGAACGTTTATTTTTTCAATTTATTGTCTTATGGTTTCTATTAGTGAAAAAAATAGTACCTATATTAACCACGGTTGCAAAGCCATTTCTAGACCTCTTGCTTCTAATTTGCGCTTGCTCTAGAATGCTTGGCTTTGCAATCTTGGCTAATAATATACTATTTTACGTGGGTACTATTTTTAATATTACCCCACTAGTGTGATAATGTAATTCACCAAGTTTGATGAGTGAGATAAGTGAAATCTGCTTCAGCGTCATAAATAAAAATATTTTTTCCCGACCCTTCTCGTAAGTCGCTTTTACCAAGTCACATTTGACGAAGGTAAGTTCAAATTACTAACCGTGTTGTGGTGGCCTAGGGCTACTTACCTCGCTAGGGAAGTAAATGAAATGACAGGACTCAATACAACAACACCGTTTAATTTTACGATTTTTTGTAACAAAAATGAACAAAATGTGTTTTTGAAATTATCTTTAATTGATACCCTTAGCAACACAAAGGAGACCACCTATTTTCATTCAGTATTATGCATTTTGGCAATATTGAATTAATTATTTGTTGGTTAGTGATTGGGTCGGGAAAAAAATAATATACATTATGCGGGAAGTAACGGATTAACACTGTCTCGCGAGATTGAAAATCTCTCGCTCGACATAGTAAATCCTGTTTACTTCCCTTATAATGTAATATACTATTTTATTTAATGTCGGCATAGTTGTAGTTCTGTTGAAATAACTAGCCGAAAGCCATATAGCATACGACGAATTAAGTAATTAGATTTCCTCGTATAGAAAGATGACTTATCCTTGAAAACTGCTGGCAATCTTTCATATGTGCTTTATACCAAAAGTATAGTCCCAATGTTACTATCGGGAGGCCGAGAAGCGATGAAATTAAATCTCCGGTAATGGAAGGTTTCCATATCACTAAATCTGTTAAATGCATTAAAAGTAAATATTTACGGGATTTGTAATTTACCATTTTCTGTTGGCACCATCTGAACAAATGACCACCACACTGCAGCTAAAGGTAGAGCTGTCGACATTGTGGCTACAGTGTATACAGCAGACTGTGTCAATATTAAAAAATGAATTGATGCAGCAACAAATCCCGTGTATGAGAACAAAAATAACCATGAAATTATTGTTGTATTTCTACAGTCTACTTCATTTGAAAAGTGACAATGGATTCCGTTAAATGTATTGTTTACAACTTCTTTCGCGTTAGATCCCTGCAAATAAAATGTGCTAACGATAAAAAACTTTTATTGAACTTACCACCTTTCCTATTTGTGGAATAAACTCGATCCAAAACAAACTCCCCACTATCAGTATGCCAAAAATGTGCAACCACATTACTAACTGAACTGAACTGATCTTTTTACAAACATTTATTTGTTCAAGTTCTGTAACTGAAGAGGAAACGCTCATTGTAGAAACTGAAGAAGAAACTGTACAGAGACCTGGTATCTGCAATTCAAAAATAAATGTTTTAGGACCACAATTTATATACATTATTTTTTTAATAATGTTACTAACAAAAGGTGCAATTCTAAAAAACGACTTTCATTACACCGTCAGTTGATATTGTTTGAGTATTCATTTAAGGCGATGGCTACAGTAATACCGTGTATCGAACAGCACCATCTTTTTTATTTCATTTCACATCCTGAGTATGTTTGAAATAAAAAGAATATTGTTCAAATATCCCGAAATTATTGTCGATGTAATTTAGATTTTCTCAATTTATTACGATTATTTCAATTTCACTGTATCTGACACTGACTTATTAATAATAATTTACATAAGGTGATTAACTGCGATTGATTATTATAAAAACAGTAACTACAATTTACAGTAAAATTTGAGCTTCCAAAATTATTACATATTTTACTTTTGTTATATATATGTATATACCTGCAATACTTCTACATTGTAAATATTGTATTTCAAGTATGCCCAATTCTAAATCTGTCAAGTTGGTCACAAAATTAGTCAAAACTTATTTAACAAGTTAAGAAGAAGTAATATTTAGTTGGAATGAGATTTTCTACACATTTCACTTTAGAGTCAGCACAAATATACATGTATATATTTATAAACAAATAGGATAAAACATACCGCTTTCTTAACTTTAAAAAGAATTTGTTCTAGAACAGTAAAGAACGCTGCGAACAGTGCTAGCCCTATAATATAAACTGATGTCCATACTGCATGAGTTTGCTTTGACCAGTTGCCTGAGTCATCGGACGTATGTTGAATTTCATATCCCCTGCATTTAAATTTATTACACAAGCTATAATCTAAAGCAACAAATAGTCCAGTGATGATTATAGTTGTAGAAAATATCCGCCGAAGGCACATAACTACAAAACCAGGAATAGCAATTGAAAAACACATAATGTACAATACTTACATCTCTCACAAACGAAAAAATAATATAAAAATGCGAAGAGAAGTACAAGAGCTTTCATAGGATCCTGAAAGTGGCAATCAACTCTTTTTTGATCTAATGCATATGCTAATGCAGCAGCACATGAAAAATATATTAAAGTGATTTTAAATAATTTTAATTTTGAGAACGGTAATTTTAAAATTCCAGTATATTCAAATTTAAAAAATAATAATTTTAAAAAAACCGATCCTAAAATAAATACTCCTGCAGAAAGTACGGTATTTGTTAGTAATAAGCTGTAAACATTTCCAGCAAGACTAACATTTTTTAAATAAAGTGGAAATAAAATAACCACCGCTAATGTAGAAAAAATTAATGTTAATTTGAATATAACAAATTCGGTCTTAGTATGTTCCACATATGTGAAATTGTGGTTATTTCGATTAACGGACTTGTTGACTGGAAGACATTGTTCTTCAATTTCTGATATTGACTCATCATCGGTAATCGGCATTAATCCAGCTTCATCATTATCCATTATTTTATTTTGAAAAACTTGTTATAATGTCCATTACCACCTACTGGTCATGACTGCATGATAACCGTAGCTTCACTGCAATCATATCAATTCCATGTGTATTTCTATTCTAACATAACCTCCATGAATGTTATTAAACCTGATATTAAACTTTATTCTTTAACTTTGTACTTACATTAGGTATACTCTTAGCAAATCACATAACACTTAACATTTGGATAACGCTGGCATTTGATGTTTTTAAAATTGAAGACAATATTCAAAAGACTCGACACGGTCATCTGGAAACAGAGAGCCTAAGCCATAAACAAAAGGACACTATAAGATTGTTTAATTCAATTATTCAAACAAAAAAGTGAGAATCTATCAACTAAGGTCAGGCCAGGCTGTATTGACGTCACCGACCGACTGTAGCGGTATCACTGGATCAAGATGTATTAAAATGAATGAGTGAAAATCAATACAACGTGACCTTAAAATCAGTTTTTTAGCTAATGGACTAGGAAGTTCTGCTGTTCTGCCAATTAATAAAAACACACATATATATCACGTTATTTTGACTTTCCTTGTTAAAGTTGGGTAAAAATGTTTAGAAAAAAATCAATAGGATGAATTCCAACTGCGCAGTATTTTTATTTATTTATTTATTTTTTTTTGTATGTAACGCCATGTAAATTACTAACTATAAACCGTTCAGGATGTTTTTAAACAAAAGTGAGCCATGAAATTTTTTCTTCACGTTGGATAAACTGATTCATTGACAAAACGGTTTGTCTATCCGTGCGTGAGACCGACGTTCACTTGAGGCTGATTTGCCACATGTAGGTATTGTTCTTTCAAATAATATTATCAAGTTGCAACATTTCTGATTCCTGTCACTAAAATTTAAAATGTCGAAACCCCAGTAGCAAGCAATATTTTTCTAATATTTATATAAGATTGATATAATATTAAATGTTGATTAGATATTACAAATATTTATATAATATTCATTTTATATTTATAAATTTATATATGAATTTCAACATATATTATATTTATGAAATGTCTTTTTATCAAGATACCGAACAACAAAAATGAAAAAAAAGTACCATGTTGGGACAACTTGTAGGTAATTTATGTCATAGGGTTTTTATCGGAGCAATATTAAAAATTGATTTGAAAAAATACCAGCTATTGTGAAATTGACACTATTCGAAATATCGTGTTGCACACTATTAATTGCTCATTAAAAAGTAATATTTTTTTTATTTTTGCGAACAAAAAATAATAATTTTATTCATCATTTTTGTAAAACTTACTTAAATTTGCGCTTGCTCTGCTGGAACGCGTTTGCGCAATGTGCAACATATACATATTTTCTGTTGTTGTTGGTGGTTCAAAAAGTATTTTCTGTAAGTTCATGGTGTTTGTTCTATTGTGAATTGTGATTATCGGTACTGCGATAAATTCAGAATAGTGTAGTAAATACCGTTTTGTCAAGAAAACAGTACTAATTCTACATAACCTCACTTCTACAAGCAATGGAGAAAATGCAATTTCTCAACACGTAAGTATATTTAAGAGGTTTAATATTCCTGAATATAAGCACATTATGAATGTAGAAACAAAATGATGAATGTCCGGGCGCAACCAAAAAAAAGAAGAAATCCAGTTAGAAATTGCGGGAGATACGCAGAAATTGAATGAATTGGTAAGCATTTATTATTCTTATTATTAACTCCTAGTATTTATAAACTAGTTAGTTTCAGACTGATAATAATGTTTATTTTCCAGGAAGAGAAGATGTAAAAAAACATGTAGGTACCTATGCAATTTTGAAGAAATTATTAATAATGAACCAAATTGCTTTCAAGTTTTCAGGGCAAGGAAAAAATAAGCTCTCTTTTAGTGAACTCACAATTAACAAGGCTACAATATGTAAAGTTATGTGATTTCTTAAAAATTATGAAATTTGTAAGTTAATTTAATTGTAGGTACCACACGGAAACGTCACAAAAACTGCTGAAATTTAAAAAATGGTAGGACCTCATTAAGCGCAGACAAAAGCAAGAGTGAATTCTCATCGAAAAAAACAGGAGGTATGATTTTTTTTATTTTAATTAATTATATCGCTTTTCAATGAATCGGTTATAGAGCAAATAATTATTAAATAAATATTTCTGTATAATGATTGAAATGTAGCAGAACATTGTTATTTCCATTGACAATGTATTTTTATTTCATTGTAAGTTGGCAGTGTATTTTTATGTTTAAAAAATTTATATTGTGTTTCACATCAGGTGATTTTTTAAATTTCTGCCCATGAAGCTTATGCCAGCAGTTTCAGTTTCACTGCTGACATATGCAGTGAAACTGAAAAAAAAGCAGAAATTAAAAAAAAATCACCCGGTACAAATTTTCAACGAATTGGTTCTAGGACAAATAATTTTTAAATGTATAAATATTGCCGCAACGTTTCAAATACACTGTTATTTCCAGTGACAATGTATTTTTGTATTTAATAAATATTATATTGTATTCCATACAAGTTTTTTTTATATCCATACCCCCTTTCATATGAAGAACATTTATTAAATGTTCTGAACTAAATAAGTATTAAACATTGAAAGTAAATATATATTCAATATTTAAAACCAATATTGATTTAAAAAAAAAAAATCTGTCGTTACCCATATTATTTAAATGTTAGAACTTCAATATTGATTACATATAAAATGTTACTGGGGAAATTATTTTATTACAACAAAAAATTTCAATAAAAAGATGCTATCAGCAAATGAAAAAAGATAGTTCCTAACCCAAGCGTGAAGAGTTAATGATGAAAATAATTAACATGTTTTCTGTGACTTTCAAAGTTTTTAAATATTTATTTGTTAATTAAAAAAAAAATTAGGTCAGTCGCGTAACTGGAGAGAAAATTGTCACTAAAAATGAAAATTTGAAAACTTCAAACGAAAACACACTGACACTTTTTCAAATTATGTGTTAAAAAGACCTGCAACAACTAATTTGGCAATACAACGAAAAAACTCAATATTTTACAATAGATACACTTTTGGCTTATAAGCAAAAATATTTGGAATTTAAAGGGGTACAAAAGTCTCAAGTCGATGGGTTACAAACATAAGGAAGTAAACGATCGCAAAATTTTATGTTGTAGAAAAACTTGTTGCAGTAAAAATTACTTTTTTGAGAAAATTCGTCGAATTTCAAAATTCTTGTGACTATTCCATGCATATCGGTTAAGAACCAATCTGATTGGTATGTAGCGTGGGCTTTTCGCGGGGACCCGCAGTAGCTCGGCATCCCCACTGGGTCAAAAAACGGTGTTTTCAACCTAGCAAACCATAGTTACGATCATGTAAACTAATTAATTTTTTGACATTATTAAAAAATGGGTTCATTTGCCAACAATTCTTTCGTAGAAAGTGAATTAAAAATACAGAAGAAAATTGTTTATAATTATTGCGCTTTGGTACTAGCTGCATGGAATCGTCTTGCAAAATACAATTCGTAGGATGAATATTTTTATAATTCAGACTTTTATTAGCAAACTCATTTTGTGTTGCGCTCAAGAAATACCACTCGTTGCTGCGCAACTCGTGATATTTCCATCGCAACACAAAATTCGTTTAGCTAATAAATCGTCTGAATTATCACTTATAATACCATAAGTAGTCAAAGTTATGTCGATTATTTTTGCAGTGGTGTCACGAATGGGCATTACGCTTGGATTTTTTCATTTCCAAGCGAAATGCCCATAAGTGGAACCACCGCAAAAATATACGACTTAACTTTGACTACGCATGGTATTCGAGGGACTATTCCATGAATCAACAATTTTTCAGATTAAAATTCAACCAAAAAGTAAGAAAAATTAAGTTACACATGCCTTCATTTCCATATCAACAGATAATAAACATTTTTTTTTAATAAAACTTCCGTGACATTTGATGCACTTTTTGATGTTATTCTGTGATTTCAACATGCAAATGCAAGAAAAGAGATTTGGGTCAAAATCAGAAGAAGAAATAGATGCCGAGATATCCAAAAGCACACCATGGAACACAAAAAAATCACGCGACTCGGTATGGCGGCAATTTTCCAGCTTTTTAAAAGAAAATGGCTATAATTTAGAGCAATCTACTTCTCCTGAGAGTTTAAATACTATTTTGAAAAGTTGGGCCTCTAACATGAAAAAAAAGATGGTACTGATTATAAGGAAAATGTAATTAAACACATGTTTAATACAACAGCGAAGCTAGTTCAAGAAAAATATTTCAATGAGTGGAATATTAAAATAAATCCATTTACGGATCCATGTTTCAAGGCAGCACGAGACGCCAGAGACGCTACCCGAAGAAAACTTCAAACACTACCAGGAAAAAGGACAGTAAACTCAGCTGCGCTAACTGAAAATGAATTCTTAAATATGGTACAAATTTTAAATGAAAATACACCCGACGGTTTGCAAAAGAAGTTTTTTTTAATAGCATCTTTTGAATTAGCTTGGCGTGGTGGTGAAGGAGCCAGTTGTTTCACATACTATTTTAAGCCAGAAATTGACAATAAAGGACTTATTATAGGCCGGATTGAATATAATCCTGTGTTTTCTAAAACAGCACAAGGTGGTTCAAAACCACTAACAAGTAGTAAATGGTTGACGAAAAATAAAGACAACCCCAACCTCTGCCCCGTTAGGTATTTTTCTTTCCCATTTTATGTCATGTATTAAACTGTTCCATTTTATAGGCTGTATCATCTACTAATGATGAAAAGAGGAAATAACATAAACACCGACAGAATGTTTTTAACACCCAATCCTTTTTGGAACAAAATACAAAATGCAGTGTGGTACAAAAATAGTCCCGTTGGAGTTAATGAAATTGGTAAATGGGTAAAGTCGTTAGCAATAGTGACTGGTTTAGATATTAAAAGAAGGAAAATATCAAATCATTCTGTGCGCTCATCAGCGGTGTCTGCTTTGGCTAAAGCTGGAGTCGAAGAACAGCAGTTGATGAAAATCACAGGACACCAGAACGTTAACTCAATTAAACCTTATTTGCAACTCGACGATGAACATCACAAATCAATTATTAATAAAATACGAAATAATTCAGTTAATCAAGTAAACAATACTGTAAATGATAAAACTATAAGTGGAGCTTCTTGTTTATTCCAAAACTGTACGAATGTAACCTTTTCAAATTGTACATTTAATGTTACTGACAAATAAATACATTAATTTGTCATCGACTTTCTTTTGTTAAAAATTGTCAGTTGAATACCTTCCTGGGAAGATATATCCGGTACAACACATTATAACCATAGTAACGCCCGCACAAAGTACAATTTTTATTGGCTCTTTTTAACCAATTGACAGATGAATGGAATAGTCACGAATATTCATCCTACTCATGGTATTACTATTGAGCATTCGTGTACTTCAACGAAACTTGGATTTACCAAAATGGTTCAGTACCACTTCATCGTTGGGTGCACGAATCAGATTTAAAAAGTAATCCTACCAAAATTAAAAGTGAAGGATAAAGATTACCTTTTTAGATGGTTGTAACTTTTTATTAAATCCGCAAAACAATGATAGAGATTATCACAATAGGCAGAAGACTTTTTCAAAATTGAGTGGTTAATCAACCTATTCCCGCTTTGGCTAAGTTGAACAAAAATGTGTGTTGATTATGGACAACGCACCATATCATTCAGTGCAACTGCAGTTGCACCAACATTGTCTAGTAAGTCAAATGCAAGAATGGCTGCTTAGTCATAGTATTGAATTTAAACAAAAGTTTTCGAAGCAACATTCGTGGGAATTAATTAGGTAAACCTCTTAGGGCAAATACACAAAAGAGTTTTTTGGTAGACGAAAGTTGAGAGTGGCAATGAAATTCTTAGATAACTCCCGTACCATTGTCAATACAACCAGACTGAAATAATATGGGGGTTTTGTAAGAATTATTACAACAAACACATGTTCTCCACCTTCATCCAAGAATAGGGTGGAGAATTTATGTCTTGAAGCTCTCTCTGAATGTACTCCAAACATGTGGCATAATTTTTGTAGACATTGTGAAAAACTTAGTTTGGCGGATTGGAAAAAGCAGGAAATTTTTCATATGAAGACATTCCTCCTTTCATTATTTCACTAGGTGTATCTAGTGTAGGTACCTGTATAATAATATATAATTAATTAATTAATAATAATAACAATAATTCTCATTGACATTGCTATTCCTAACACAAACAACATTATTCAAACATACCACACCAAGATTTCAAAATATCTACAATTATCGATAAAAATGAAATCCATGTTGAGTCTTAAAAAAATTTCAATTCTACCCCTAGTTATCTCTAATGTAGGTGTAGTTCCAAATAGCTTAGTTGAGAATTTAAAGTCTTTGCATTTGAATGATTCAATAATTGTCAAAATTCAAAAAGCTGTTTTGTTAGGAACATGCCATATTGTTCGTAAGTTTCTTGAACAGTCTGATCATGTCAGTCAGATTAGATTAGCACCAGTAGGTCAGAGTAGTGTAGGTCACTTTCCAAGTGATGCGCGGATAAATGGTCGGTAGTTACGCTAGACTTTTGGGGATGGAGTGAGATTAGAGAATAATATCAGACTAATTTGTATGCCGTAATTCTAGAATCTCGAAAGTTGTTTTGTTAATCTAATCCATGCGTATCATTACTTGGTCTTAGTACCCGTAATGATAGAAGTCTTGCCTGAATGCCGGTCATTTCCGGGTCGGTGGTGGGTCTTAAAATAATATAGGTACACTGGGTGTATCTGATTCAGAAATAATTGAAATGGAATAAAATACTAAAGCGTAACTAGTCGGATATATTTTTTTTAATTTCTGAAATTATTTAACTGGAAGGAACAGCTATTTCCATTCTTTAAATGAACATTTTATTTTATGTTGTATCATTTTATGTTCATTATTCCACAGTTCTGGATCCCAATACATATGTACTTCACAAATTTTTGAGTAAAGCGCTCTATACTATTTTATTTAGAAAGAAATTTTCAATATCATGTAAGCACACAAAATTCGTCATTTAGTCATACTTTAATACAGTTTATTTTTGACCTTTTGGATATTATTCCAAACAGCTGTAAAACATTGTAATAACCCAAACCTGCCGCCGAATATTGCGCCTGCGCACTATGAACACAATAAGACCGCGCAAATTCAAATGAATATTTTGGCCAATGATCGCGAACGTCTAGCAAGGTTAGAACCAGTGGCGGCTCCTCAGAGGAGGCAGGGGAGGCTGAGCCTCCTATATTTTTTGGAGCTGAGCTTCCTCTAATTTTTTTCGATGAAAGAATTTGTATTTTTGTAGACATTTGTTATTTTTCAAAATATTTTGTTTGATTTCATTTACTTTCATCATATATCAGGTTAAAATGTAGAAAAAATTTATATTTGCGCCCTCACAATCATAATTCACAACACTCCGCGTTTGGCTTCAGCGGCAGAGGCTTGCCTCCGAACGACAATGCATCTGAATAATGAGATCGTAACCTTGACGCATCCTCAGTGTGTACTGTTCAGTGGTGGTGGTGTTTAGGCTTTACGTAGGTAAGGGTACAAAAGGGGAGACCAACACCATCACTCCCATTAATGGTATTGACAGGTAGAATTAGAAACAAAACAGAGCATTTCATGAAAATAATTATAATAAAACTAAATAGTTAACGGCTTCGGTTTTAAGAAACAAATTATACTGTTGGAATTGTGTATTATTTATAATTGATAAATCTTCCGTTTGAGGTAAAACAGGCTATAATATAATTTACAAAATTTGTTACGAGCTATAGAAAGGCATGAAAAATCACAGGAACACATATTTTCTTCGATTAAATTAGAAATGCTTGGTAAGCAAAATATTGCCAATAATTTAGCTTCGGCTCATAACAGGGATATTGACAACTATTACGAGAAAGTTGGTGAAAATAGAGCAATTTTGAAAATACTAATCAATGCAATATAATTTATCTGCCAACGCAAGAGTGTTCTTTTCGTGGGCATGACGAAAAAAATTATTCAGATAATAAAAGATATAAAAAGTAGTGCTTTTCAAATTTGAGCCTCCTCTGAATAAAACTTCACGAGCCGCCACTGGTTAGAACCTAAGTTGTGTTATGTTAATATGGCGAGAGGAGGTTCAGGTCTATTATAGCGAAGTGAGCAAATCAACGAGTGAGGGAAGAACACAGGTATAGAGACACATAAGTACCTAAATCTTTAACGGGAGGGTGCCTTTAATGTTTAACAATTACACAATGAACGAGTTATACACTTTCCAGATTACAAGAATAATTATTATGCGACACATTTCGTGTTGTTTATAAAGCTTAATATCGTGGTTACAAATTGATAAAAGAAAGGTTCGGATCCAAACTCCCAGAAAAACACATTAAATCACGTCTTTTCTACAACAAATTTCCTGTCCGGGCCCGCCGGCTTCGTGGCGCGATGTACCATTTACTTCCGGCCGTTCCAAGAGAAGCTGCTGTCGCCAAATACAACTGCCACCCCATCTACAAGGTCCGATGGCCCCGCAGTAACCAGGTCTGTGCTCAGTATAGCATCTGTGTACCGTCTAAACAGCGACGGGATTAGAGACGGCGGTACATTACGCATGGATCACCCGCGGAACGGGAAAGAAAGGGAACCGGACCTACCAATCATGCCTTGTACTACCGTGAGAAGAGGAAACGTCAACTACAAAGAGACACAAAAAAAAACACCCGTGTTCAGGGCAGACAACAACAAACAAATTCAAAAATAGTGGGTGGGGGATTTCCCCTGGGGTGCTTCCTCTTGTTTGGTATCAATATTGTCGTTTTGGCTTTTGACGCGTACATGTTGGAAATTCAGCTGTAGGAACTAATAGACACATGCGCATACATTAATTATTAACTACATTTACACATACGCAAAACAATAACAACGAAAGAGAGAGAAAGAAAAATGAGAGGGAGAGAGGGAGAAAAACAAAAAGAGAAGAGAAAGAAGAAAGCTCTGCGCCACGGGTCGTAGTCGAGTGCAAGCGAATCAGATTACGATCAGATGAGTCACTATTTTCACAGGTCCTAATTCACGTATTACGACAACACATCAATAAACAAAGAAGCAAACAACAAAGCGGCACCGTCGCGTCGGCCGCCATTTTGTTATACGTGAAGCGTCACATGTTATCTCTTTCTAACTAATAAAAAGAACAAAGATAGACAAATGCCACCATTGCGTCGGTCGCGATTTCCGCTTTATCGGCAGCGTCACTCGGGTTCTCTTTCTAACTAACAAAATGACAAAGACGGCAAAACGCCAACACCGCGTCGGTCGCCATTTTACTTTACGTGAAGCGTCACAAGCTATCTCTTTCTAACTAACGCAACTAACAATTACCCAATTACCCGGTATCCACCACCTAACTACGCTAACCCGAAACAAAACGGCGCTATTTACCCACATTCTACGTCAGTCTTACAAGTACCCCTTCCGTTCCTAGCCCACTTTGATCCGACACTTGACCGGGCGAACAAAGAATTTATAATTATATACTATCCTCAAACATATTTGGCGTTTATGACTTCACACCAATTTGACTCCCATTATAATTCAATAGGCCGTCACGACCGGATGTCTTAAACCCGCTCACCGATACCTACCTAAAAAGACCTTTTCTGGTAAAAGCACAGGGCAGGACTGAGTTTTGCATTTACCGACAACTGCGCCTTTCGAGTTTTTTATTTTAAGTAAAAACAAAGTAACTTTGTACTCAATCATTTTTTATTACAGCACAACTATTTACTTATTAACTACTACTGCTTATTTATTGATCGAAATAGTCACTGTCATCATCACTCGACTCTTCTAAATTAATAATTAACGGTGTTATCAACCGTGCCCTGTACTGGTCTTCTTCTTTTGTGGAATGTCGTACACAATTGGCCCACATTTCGGCAGTTATTTTGGAAGCTTCTTCCCTAATTATGTCAATTGTTGCACTACTAAATTTTGGTGCCGTATTATTCCTTCTTATATTATTTTTCATTTGCGACCAGATTAGCTCGATGGGGTTAAATATACAATGGTACGGCGGAAGTTTAATCACCCTAAATCCACGATCTCGCGCCATAGCATCTATTTTATATTGTTTCTCAAATTTTCGAGTGTGTAACACTTCTAATAATTGTCTTTGTGTAATTTTCTTCAAAGTATAAATCATGTTCTGTAAGGAAATTTTGAAATTTGAAAATTTTAACAAACAAAATTACTCTGAGTCCGGTCCTTCGCGTCTCGACCGTCCTTGGCACGTCGAAAAGGTCTTTTCAGGTAGGTATCGGTGAGCGGGTTTAAGACATCCAGTTGTGACGGCCTAATGAATAATAATGGGAGTCAAATTGGTGTGAAGTCTTAAACGCCAAATATGTTTGAGGATAGTATACCAACACCGCTTCCGTATGCATGCACACATCTTATAATAGTTTGCCTCTAATATCATATGTGATAGTCGAACCTATTGTGGCCGTCAAATTAGACCGAATGCTGCCTGGGGCGCGGTCGTGCTGCCACTCATTGAAGTGATTAGGATAGTTGTAATTTTTACTACTCTCCACTGTTTGGGCACACCATATCTCTTATTTAAGTACTTACTAACTGAATCGTACGCGGCATTTGGCCCAAATTTATGGCACTATAAGCTGTGGTTAGGGGTTTATTGAGCGCTTGAGGCGTTCAGCTTAAAAGATTCCTATGGTAGGTGCTGTCTGAGCTTATATGATACCTTGGTCACGTGTGTAAAAAGATACATGAATCCAACTATATACGCCACCGTTCTGGGTAAAGGGTTAGTGCAGTTGGTGTCCTTTCAGCACTTAAGTCACAATAGCCGTTCGGGCGTCGCACCAAATTCCACCACATTAGATAGGAGATCGTTCATTCGTACACCGCACCCGTCACAAATGTCTCGGAGAGTCGTTTGTTTCCTATTTCCAAGGGAAAATTCCAAAAAACACACAAGAATCAAAGCCAATAATTTGTTCGATCCACACCCCTCAAGGTAGTACTTCGAACTGCCCTTTCCCTTCCTTTTCACCCTCCTCATCTCACCATCCCCCGGTACGTCTCGTACCACCCAACAAATAGCGTACCAAGTACCGTTCTGGGATTAATTCAGATGTTGCTTTGGCGCCGTATCGTTTCGATTCAAGTTTAAGACCGGGTATTTCAACATATAAAAACACGCCATTGACGAAAAAGATAACTAATGTATTAATCAAAAGTCGAAACATGTTGTAATGAAACTCCCTTTCACTTCACACGTTCAAGAGACAGTAAAACATAACTCCAATTATCTGTACTTGAACAGGAAATGGATCTTCAAAACATCGTGTTAACTAATAATACGTCAAACCTGTGTTAACCCAGGATTTGTGTTGTATAAAATTATCGTTTGAGTTAACATCATGTCAAACCTTAGTTAACTTTCTGTCATCAATTAAGTTGCGATTTCGTGTTTGTATGAAGCTTTAAGGACAAGATTTCTGATAGTTTTTGAGGTAAAGTAAACGTAATTCAGTAGTAATAGTTGTATTTAGCATAATTGTTCATGCAAATCTATAGAAGATGTTAGCATCTAGTTTGTCTTCATTGGACAAGAAGGGACACTGCAAACAGGAAGAATACGCCGCCCAAGACGCTTTTTCGTTCGTAAGGATCCATGTGAGCTGTATGATGATGTGGATTTCAAGGAAAGGTACAGGATCAATAAAAACACATTCAACGAGTTGCTCAATGTGATTGGTCATCACCTGGAACCTGCAACAAAAAGAAATCACTCTATTTCTGCAAAACTGGAACTCCTTGTTACCTTACGATTTCTAGCAAGTGCATATTTTCAACAAGTGCTTAGGGACAATATTGGCATTCATAAATCTTCAACCAGTAGAATCATTAGCCGAGCATGTGATAACAGCCTTAAAACTTCGTTACATTAAAATGCAAGTAACTGAAGAAAGACATTCAGTTAAGTCCGGATTTCACAACATTCGTGAGTTTCTGAAAGTAATACGAGCCCTAACAACTAAATATTGGGACACCAAAAAATTTTTATAAAAAAATCACCAAACTTTTTAACAAAAATGTAATTTATTTTAGATAATTAAAATTTTAAAATTAATTCGTTTTGCAAAACTGTTAATGTTTACAGCACAACAAAAACTGATTTCTAACTCAAACAGTGACATAAAACTCTAAAACAACGTAACATTTTGTGACACATAAATATTGGGACAGCAAATTCAGTAACTGGTCATATCTCCTTTTGCCTTAATAACTGCAGGAATTCTTGCCATCATACTTTCAACTAATTTTCTACAATACACAGGAGTTGTTACCGTATCCTACACTCGCTAAATTTCCCGTTGAAGATTGACAATCGCTTGTGATGGATGATTTCCTAAATATTTTTTTATTTCACGCCATACCGTCTCTACTAGATTAGGATCTGGGCTATTCGATGATCAGGGCAAACATTTATATTATTATTCTTTGTAATAAGTGTTGTAGGTGTGTAACTTGAAGCATCATCTTGTTGAAAAATATAAATATCAACAGGATAGACTGCTTCAGTAGTTGTTAATATTCTTTGCAAAGTCTCTTGATATTTGTTTGAATTTGTAATTTCCCTTCCATGAACGTTGTTAACTGGTCTTTAAATTCCGTTAATAGACATGCAGCCCCAAACCATTTTTCCGCTTGCAAACTTGACTCTTTGTTTGAGATAATCCATATTAAAATTCCTTTTTTATTTCAATAACTCTTTTTCTACTATTATCTCACCCAGACATCATTTGGACTTAGCGTTATATATTACTTTTCTCCAATTTTTATTTTGGTCATATTAACCGATTTTTCTTGTGGGCAGTTTTTAATTGTGGTTTTACTTTAGCATAAAATAATATAAATAAATAATAAAGTCCATCAAAGATAGCTTTATTTAAGATTTACAATGTAAAAACCAAGGTCTGATTTGTGTATCCATTCGCGACAATATTGTCTTGAAAAATTTAGTTGGTTATCGCTATTCCAGCAAGTAGTAATTTCTCTTGAAGTAGTCCGTCGCCCACTTTTATAAATTTTCATCAGTTGTCGTTGATCACGCGGCTTCACAAGTGGTGGCCTACCGGGAATTTTACCTTTTATTCCGATGGTACCTCAGTCTGCGTAATATTTTACATTTACCATCGACGACTAAGCTATTTGGAACAAATCTTCACTTTTTCTTAGCGATTTTCCCTTGAGGTACTGAGAAATTATTATTTTCTGGACTTTTACTAAAACTAGCCCGCCGCTAACTATTTTTTTCTAAATAAAACCAACACTAGCATGAAATGCTACGATCCCTATAATAATGGCAGCATTTACCAGCTACTACGTTTGTATTTCGATGGTATACTTAGGAAATTTTCTCGGGTGTCCCAACATTTAAATGTCAGCAAAAATTGCACATTTTTTAGTTAGGTGACAATTTTTGCTCTCTAAGAAAATTTATTAATTTGCAAAATACCTCACTCTCTGCCAAAATAGCTGCCCATGCAAAATTTGCATTTAGTCCAAACGAATTGAATGATATCAAAAATATCTACCGGATTTTTTTGAGAAATTGTCTGTCCCAATATTTAGTTGTTAGGGCTCGTAGGTCCTCTCGATTACACTCACGTCAAAATACTCTCTCCAGGAGGTGAGCAAGCAGAACGATTTCGGAACCGCAAAGAGAATTTCTCAATGTTCAAGATATTTGTGATTCAGAATTAAAAATCATAAACATTATTGCTCGTTAGCCTGGTTCCGTTCACGACAGCCCCATCTTCAATGACTCACCCCTGTGTGCTGATTTAGCTTCTGGCGAATACCGAACAGACTTTGTATTACGTGATAATGGTCACCCATATCGAAGTTATTTACTGACACCACTACTGAATCCAAAAAACCGTATTGGGAGAGCATACAATGCGGCTCACAAGACCAGTAGAAATTGTCTTGACAGGGGTTTTGGAGTGCTGAAGCGACGTTTTCCTTGTTTGTCTAGAGGATTAAGTATGAAACTTCAATCAACTTTCCACATTATTGTTGCTTGTGCAGTACTGCATTACATATGCATTCTAGAAAAGGAAGCATTTTTTGAAGGTGAAGATCAAGATGTTGATCCAGAATTGCACATTTTTAATAACGAAAACAGCAGTTCGAGTGGCCCTAATTAATTCAGCTTTTGCAAACCTTTAGATTATCGTTTAATTTATGTTAAAATTGTATTAAAGTAAAAGTCAATACGAATGAAAAACGAATTTTACTTTGTATTTCAATCTTCCAACTGTTTGCGCTTAATCTTTAAATCTAAAAAATGAAGCTGCCGTTTGGATTTTAATTCAAAACAGTGTGATAACCCAAACTTCCCGCCTTTAATTAACCTTGAAAAAGTTTGAAAGGTCCGCGAAAAATTCAAACATTCAAAGTTTGGCCTTGGCTGGGATCGTTTAATAAAATGGAAACCTACGTTGTGTGTTTTTTTTTTTTATTTTAATGGCGGGAAGACGTTCTTTCGTACAAGTGAGCACACACTTCGTGTGAGTCGAGAGCGAAAGAAATAATAGACAAAATTTTTGGGAGGGGGCAAAAAAATTCCGCCCCCTCTCTAGGAGGAAAGAAGCTGTGAGCGAAGGCGACACGGACTTGCCATCTCGCATTCACTCCTCAGCCCCAAAACCCCCTATGGTATATTCACGGACATATTACATTTCAAATGAAACACTTTAAAAATATGAAAGAAAAGACATTCGCGAATTGACAGACATACACATATGAAAAACGAACAAACACAAAATCCTATACATCTGTTTGGAGTCAATGCAAATATTTGATTATCACAAATTTAATAAAAACAAAGCAAAATCTGAAATAAAGTAACTGGATGCAAATACACAAGTTATTACGGGCGTGTGGCGTCAAATTTTAAAGTTACGGCAGAACCCCTGGGGCGTTTCAGCACAAGCGGAGTTTGGGGGGCTACCGGTCGGGGCTGTTCTCCCCCCTCGACGGTGATTCTATCTATCGCAAAGCCTACCCACACATCTCCATGACGAACATGCCGTCCGAAACTAAGCCGTTACGATCGCAGACCCGCAGTTGGATCTCGGCTAAGGACAGAAGCCGAGAGCGTTACAACTTCGGCGACCGTCCCTGAATCTATCCAAACCTGTACCCTTTCTGCAGGTTACGCGATAAATCTCGCCAGCTAGACTAGGAACCGCACTTCGCTTCTGTCACGTTTTCTGTGTTATTTAACCTCAATTCCATCTTAAATGTTCACTTTCTTATGACTCTGATATTAACAACAACTGAACAAGTGTTAAAGTTTCAAAAGAACAATAAACAACATTTAATTTCGCCATACAATCTTGTGAAATTTAAACAACCAATAATTCTTATGTGGGATTAAAATTGGACACCAAATAATTTATACGATGGACAAATTCATCAACAAAATATTTACAAAACAAAACTACAATAGTAAAGATTTATGAAAAACAAAAGATCTGGTGTGAAATAAACTTGTGCAAATAAAAATTATGTGAGGTTAAAACTGCAGACCATGAAATTTACGTTCAATGAAAATTATACAATAAAGGAAAATTACTGAGGTTAAAACTATGAGATTAGAGAAATATTGTATCAGATGAAAAATTGCAAAGTTAACAAAATTTACATGAGATTAATATTTGCAACACTTTATCAACGTTTCAAACAAAGAGTTTACATTATGCCAAATTATATCATGATCTAAGTGATTGGTTACTTCAAAAAAACAATTTACTTTGAGAGTTTAACATACCGCGAACTGGTGACCCCAATAAAACACATAATAAATAAACACAAAAATATCCAATCATCGTTGCGAGGAAAAACGTCTCGGTGATTTTTATCATTGCGAGGGAATACCTCGAGTGTGTTATTAATCTCTAGCGTTGCGAGAACATGCCTCGATGAAGTAATCAATCTGTAGCGTTGTGAGGGCATGCCTTGGTAATGTAGTCAATCTATATCGTTGCGAGTACATGCCTCGACGAAGTAATCAAGCTTTAGCGTTGTGAGGTGCCCCGGTGATGTAATCATGATAATGATAATAATAACGATGATAACCGCCTAAGGGAAGAAATTATTTAACCCGTCAGTTCGCGGTATGAATTTTGTTAATTTAACTGCCGTAAATGAACTATTAGCAATCTTGTGTGAAGAATTATGAAGTGTCATAATGTAACACTTACGTATATGCATCCAGAAACCTATTCGTAATTTGTTAAACAAACAATTATTATCCTGACTAAATGAATTTCATGAAATCTTCGAGCAAGTGGTTTATTTAAATAATCCTGATTGTTAGATTGTGTTAGCACTAGCTGACGATTAACTCCTAGCCTGAACTGTGAATTTACAACAATAAAACAAATTTACGCCACGTGGCCCGCGTTGGTCCCGAAAATTAACACTTTTCCGATTAAAACGCTGCAAGAATTAGCCGCGCGGATTGGGGAAACTGGGTGCCGTCGCCGTCGGTTACGATTGATTGTCGTTAAACAAAGGCTTCCTCCGTTTTATTAACTACCAAACCAGCTAATTTAAACCTAGCTACTTACAGCGTCCTTTCACCATGCATCCACTACACCGAACCGAAACATAATGACTCACGCTTTCAACATACCACCCTCTCCTACCAAGCCACCCTCTAACTAAACATGCAGAACTAACCCCTACGTGCATATTTGGTTGCCTATGCTTAACGATTTCTTTTTTGTGATTGAATTTTTTTTCTCTTTCAAATTCAAATTATTCAAATGTGATTTCGCGCCGCTGTTAATTAATTTCAGCGCGAAAATTTTGATTCAAATTCGGTCACCACAACAAGCTATTTCATATATTTTTTTGAAGTGTAGTACCTTATAATAATTGATCTTTTTGTTTACGTTTCTCGTTTTTCTAATGCTAGTACGGCGTGATGTCGTGGCTCTCGTCTCAGGCACAGGCTTCGCCTTGTCGGTCACCCCTTTACGGTGATTCTGCTCTCAAACACTCCGCGTTTCCATCAACTGAAAATCTAAAGCATGACGATACTTTCTACTCACTCCTCGTAAAAAGGCAGCTATTAACAAGCTACGCGATTCACGCGGACCTAAGTCTCCCCTGAAATTTATTTTTAACATTTTTGAACAATGCCAAAACCATAGACTCTAACTAGAAACCGTGTGTTCCGCTTTCGCCAAGCGAATTTGTATCCTTTCATTTTTTGTGCAATTAATTTCAAACAAAGAATTTACGTGAGATTAAATTATGCCATAATTCAAGTTGGACCTTCCAAACCTAATTCAACAAATTATATCGTGAACCATTTCTCCTTACAAAAAAAATAACAGAAGAAATGAACATAAACTGTGCTCAGACGGTCTAAGCTTAATGTTTTTGGTGAATATCCCTCATCGCAAGAGTGTAATCTATACTTTCTATACTTCTATACTTATATAATAAAGCTGAAGTGTTTGTTTAATTGAACGCGCTAATCTCAGAAACTACTGGTTCGAATTCAAAAAATCTATTTGTGTTGGATAGTCCATTTATCGTATCTACATATACGCTATATAACATCACTCTACGATCAATAGGAGCGAAGTAGCAATGAAAAATTAGGAAAAACGGGAAAATTATTCCTCCTTTGACAGCTTCCGTTGCTTACGCTGCTTAAACGGTTAAAGTTACGTAAAAATCATGTAAGACGAATTTGTTCCCCTCTAAAAGTTCTAAAGAAAAGTCCACGACAGCATATGTCTATCTTTTAAGGTTGACTCAGTATAACCTTTTTTATAGTAATGAAATTTATTCTAAAATAATAATGCATTATGTATAAAATTCTCGCGTCACAGTGTTTGTAACCCAACTCCTCCGAAATGGGTTGACCAATTTGTATAAAATTTTTTAGGTATATTCGGTAGGTCTGAGAATAGGTTGTAAACTATTTTTTATACCCCTAAGTGATAAGGATGGCCCACCCTAAAAAACTTTTGTCTATTTTTTGCACAAAATTTTTTATTTTTATTTTTTTAAGATTTGGCATCAAAAAATACATATAACCCTAAATTTTCACCTTTCTATCACCAACCCCCATTTTTTAATCTTCTATATAATAAAAATCAATTGCTGTTCCTGTTAGTCACGCTAAAACTCAAAAACGGCTTGACCGATTTGAAGATTTTTTTATATTACGGGGATGGTTTATAAATTAAAAAATTAGGGAAAACTTAAAAGAACAGCCAAAAAATAAAAAAATTCTAAAAATTTTGTATGGGAATCGCCACTTCGAATTGACCAGTAAAGTAAGGTTAGAATTTAGAATGCGCGGCAGTTCATAATTCAAAAATTCTACTATGGGTTTCTTATGGGAGCTTGATTTTACAGACAAAATACACCGCACAGGTAGAGATCTTAACTAGTTCATGCTACAAGCGATAAAGACTATACAATTATCTTCGGTTTAACTATATAAAAAGCTTGTGTTAAAGAAATATCGCAAATTAAAAACAACGTTGTTCATCAAAGTAACGTACATCGTTTCTAATGCCTTGCGCATGAGTGAAACGGAAAATCCAGAAACACGCCGAACAGAAAAGGAACGCGAATATTTTGCGGGGCTAGTGACGTTTGGATCGTGAAAATCCCCAAAATATGACAATTGATTTCGTATTTTCATCACAACAAACAATCATAATCACAATTTTTGGATGATGATGATATATTAGTTCTGTGATATTGATTCACATTTGGTTGTATGTATCTGTGGACTGACAGAATGACAGAAAGACATGTGTTAACAATAGGGGCAATTGCCATTTTTTTTTGTTGGAGAAAATTCTTTACAGTCAAATAATGTAGTGAAAGTCAATTGGTATACTGAATTAAATGTGCTTGAAGAGTTTATTCGAGCTATAATGCGAGAAGATTATGGTAAGTTAATGTATATTGATAAATTCTGTATCAAGTAAAATTATGACGTACTTTGTTTTATTATGCATAGATATTCCTTAAGAGAGGCAACATGTGAAACCCCAAGAGGTGCATTTGTATGTCACCATATGGCTACACCTGCCCTACACGGACGTTATAATGTATTTTGGACCAATAATTTGTGTGCTTGGGACGTACATCTGAAGAAAAGTGA